ACCATCCCGTCGCACGCTCTACCCATCCTCGGGGCTCCGCCTGCAGCCGGGCCAGGGCGGCTCCCGGTGGGTTGTCGCGCTCCCCCCGGACCTCGCGGCCGCTCTGACCCCGGGCCCTGCTGCCAGGGACTTGAGGCACCGCCCTGACCTCGTTCCCGACGCAGACACCTCAGGGCTTTTGCACACAACCCCGGTTTTTCTGGTTGCTTTCTGAAACAACTCTTCCTCTCTGGAGGAGCCGTGGCCCTGGAAGTCTCTGCCTCTCTGCTCTGCTGGCATCACCTCCCCCCTGCCCGGGCACGGGGGTCAGCCTCTCGCTGTCCAGAACGCCTTGCGGTTTCCCCCGGTCCCTCACAGTCACCTTGCAGGTGACCAGATTGTCACAGTCACCTTGCAGGTGACATGTAGAGTGACCAGATTGTTTTCCATTCGTCTCTGTTTTCTTCCAGTCACCAGAATTATACCATTTTAGAGCAGGGAGCTAGGAGAAACAGCAGGGCCTCCCAGGCAGAATGTGGCTCTAACGCTGAAGGCCCAGCTCCGTCCTCTGCTCCTGTGCCCCCTCCCTGCCCCCGGGGGTAACACTGACCGCTGTGATGTGACACGTGTCCTGTGCCTGAAATGCACTGGCCCTAGTAAGTGGGGGCTAATTGTTTTCTTTATTCATAGTGTAGGGGCGAAGACTTCTCCCTTCTTCCCTTCTGGGCTCTACAGCTGGTCCAAGGATTAAATTGACATAAGAAAGATGAACAGGAGGGGCCCCTGGGAGGCTCCGTCAGTTGAGCATCTGACTTCGACTCGGGTCATGATCTCACAGTCTGTGAGTTCAAGCCCCACGTCGGGCTCTGTGCGGACAGCTTAGAGCCTGGAGCCTGCCTCGGGTTCTATGTCTCCCTCTCTCTCTCTCTGCCCCACCCCTGCTTGTGCTCTGTCTCTGTCTGTCTCAAAATTATCAAATAAAACATTAAAACATTCTTTAAAAAGACAGATGAAACAGGAGAATTTAATTTTATATGTGTATGAGCCCCAAAGATCAGAGGCTCAAATGTGACCGTAGCGGCAGTTTTTAATGCCTTTGAGACAAAGAAACAATAAATTTGTGAAGAATTGACAAGACCACAGGGTTTGGGCTTGAGCTATAGTAATTAGTGAAGAAGTAACAAGAATTATTCATGCAGCCATCTAGGCCCTAGACTGCCCGCGTCCGGGATAAGGGGCCTCTCTTCCTCCTGCTGTGGGGAGGGCACCTTCCCCGTGGGAGACTTCTTTCCTGCTCTCAGGGGGAGAGAGGAGGGTCACAGTGTCCTTCCCGCACTGGCTATTCCTGGGTAACTTTAACCCAAAGTAATCAGTATGCGGAAACGGCATCTTGGGGGTGACCTGTGCTGCTCTGCTCCAGCGGCTGAAAATGAGGAGCCGGGAGTCGTGTTGGGGTTGAAGCCTGGCTCGGGACCTCCGGACATCCGAGATGTCACGTGCAGAGTGAAGGCCGCTGCTGCGGCTGAGGGCAGCCTTGGGCTCCGGGCCGCCTCGGGAGTCTCCCAAGACGTGTGCGTCCGTGGCCAGTTGTCTGCCCGCTCTGGATACGGACGCTGGGAGAGCGTGTGCGAGGGGGTCATGTCCACTCCTTACTCTCTCAGGTGCAGGCCTGTGTTCTCACGCCGTCAACACAAAAGCTGTCCAGCTCATCCTACACAGAAATCCAGTGCGTACCTGGACAGGGCCCAAGCCTGCTTTTAACGCAGAGTTACTTTCTGTTTCTTCGAGGAAGGCTGGTGGCTCTTCATCACCAGCAGGGATATTGGAGGTTCTGAAAACATCATGTTTGATCGTGTGCTTATGCGCAATGTCTGTGGCTGCCAGACTGGCCTCTGTGCTTCACTGTCGAGCTCAGTCTGTCTTTGGAAGATACCCTTCTTTCCTTAGTTTCTCTCTCTAGTTTAGGAATACGCGTGCGTTAATGACATCGGTCAGGTGCTTTTTGTGCTGGGTGCACACTCTCCTCCAGTGGTCACGTGGAAAGAAAGGGTCGTCACCAAGGCCCCTGGCTGACCCCGGTCTCATGCGAGGTTCACATCAGCCTGTGTACACGGAGCGTGTCCCCGCGCGGGCAGCACTGCCTTGGAACGGCGCCTGGTTTCCTCCCGAGCTTTGATCTACCCTGCGTGCCGCTTTAAATTTGCTGTTCACCCGTAGTTCCACTGCAAATCCCGACAAGATAAAAATGAGAACGCGACTCATAAAAGCCAGAGGGGGACATACCGAGGTTAGAGGTGCGGTAAGAGCCTCGATTTACATAACTTTCATAGCAGTGGGTGAGGGTCAAGACCAGAAGAGAAACAAAAGCGGTACCGTAACTAAGAGACGTCGCGTGGCCCACAGGCCAGAGGGGAAGGTGTGCTGACCTCACCACCGTCCGTGGGGTCCGTGAGTCTAGGGAGAACCAGGGACTGACCTTGTGGAAATCGTGACCTTCAGGCATGCATATTAGAAGAACCACAAACAGACGAGAAAACCTTGGAAGGACCAGACCTCTGACAGAGCACATGCCAACCACAGAGGTGCCACCGAGGAAGGCCGGGTGCGAGCCCGGATGCGCCCTGCACTACCGCGTGCGCTCTCGTTAGCAAGGCAGGGCTCGTGTCTCCGTGCTCTCAGATTCTCACCGGAAAGACACACGAGGCGCCAGCAGAGGGGACCTGCCAGCTGGGGCCTGGGTGGGAGGTGACTGTCTCGAAAGTGCTTCCTTGCACTCCTGTGTTATTCGCGAGCCGTGTTGAGTATAATACAACCCGAAGAGTAATGACAAAATGTTTCAATATAACATTTTAATGCCTTCGTTTAAAAAAAAAAAAAAAAAAGGGCAGCTTAACGCTCAGAGTTTTCCTAGATGAATGTTAATTCTAAGACAAGAGGACGAGTTCCAGCCACAAGGCAGCAAGCCAGAGACGCAGGCCCTAGATGCACAGTCCCGGCCCAGGAAGCAGGGGCCGTTGGATAACGGAGGGGCCACGCTCGGTGCCTACTCTGTGCCCGGCTCAGTATGCAGCATGCACCAAAGGGCAACCTGGACAGCACCCACCCACCCCCGCCCCGCCCCACGTCGCCTAACAGACTGAGATCCAGAGGGGGCACCGTACTGGTTCGCAGTCGCACAGCACAGACTTCCCAGGGCCTGGACCACAGCCCAGGCAGGTGCGCTCCCAGAGCACGTGCTCGTCACGCCGCGGCACGCTGTTTTCCCTTGGAGACACGCTCATGTGTTGCCGGCGCTCGGGACGCGCGGTCTCGAGTAGCCAGGATTTGGCAAGGGGACGCTCTCCCTTTGCTGGAAGGTTGGGGTGGAGCTTTTCTATTCACAGGAACAGTACGTGACTCAGTGGAAAGCGTGGGCTGAGTCAGACAGATTCAGGGCTCCAGTCCCACCCACTCTGGTCACTTGCTGTGTGACCTCAGGCGGACCACTTACCCCGTCTGAGCTGTACTGCTTCGTGACCCAGCGAACGTACGAAGGCTACCGGTTGTGGCCGTCGCGAGGGCTCGGAGGGGCAAGGCTGCCAGGAGGTCAGCAGGAGAGCCCCATGAGGGGGCTGCAGTGACCACGGTGCCCTCACCCTCGGGATACTAGGTGCCTAGGAGACTCAAAAGGACAGGGACCAGGCTCCCATGGCACCCAAACCCCAGGCTCCCCACCTACACCGTATGAGGGAGAGAAAGGGGGGGCAGGGCATGGACAAGGGGGGCTCGGCCCCTCTGGGTTGCCGGTCACTGAATGGGAAAGGACAGGCGTCTAGCAGAACACACTGGCCAGAGCCCGGAGGCCACCGGGGCAGCTGGGGACAGCTGGTTGTCACGGCGAGGAAAAGGAGCCATCGGAGGCAGAGCCGCAGCCATGACAGCCAGTCAGGGGCCCTAGTTCTCCAGGCCCTGCAGATACCAGGCCTGTGAATGGCAGGGGGAAGAGGGCAGGGGGGGTGCTGTCCCCCAGTGTGTGTGCTGACGATTGTGGCCAGCCGTGGTCAGGGGCCTCATGTTAGGGGCATCTCTGGCTGATCACACGGAGTTGTCCCCCCCCCCCCCACATGTGGCCGCCCGAGAGTGTCTCCTTGTGTGGTTTCACAGAAGACCGAGTGCAGGAACCGGGAAGATGCCGGTAAGCTCGGTCTCCAGTGGAGCCAAAGAAGGTGCCAGAAGGAAGACAAAGGCGGAAGGGTGTCTCTGGCGGAGAGGCAGGCAGTCTTGTGCTAGTACCGCGGCCTTGTCGCTGGCGGCCGCGCCACCCCCGGGAGGCCAGGGAAGGCAGGGCTGGCGGGCACAGGGTTCGGCTCTGCTGGCTGCCCGCCCCCCCCCCCCACTGCCAGGAGGGCATTGCCCTGTGGATGCCACCACGCCCCGCCCACCAGTTCTGGTTTTCGCCAGTGCAGACGGATGCACGGCTGTCGGTGCCCGAGAGAAGGCGGGGCGCGCCGGGTCCCCAGCCGGGTCCGACAGGTGGCCACTTCAGACGTGTGGAGGCAGTCCCGGCGCAGCCTGGTTGGGAGGTGTGATCATTAATAACATCAGAGCGACCACAATCCCTTGATAACCGGGAACTTTAGGAGACGTTCAGAGGCGCTGAAGCCCGGAGAGTTCTGTGCGGTGGAGCCCCTAGCCCAGGGGTGGGGTGCTGGCACTTCCTGGGGCGGGAGGCACAGAGGAGGGGCGGGCGGCAGGGAGGGTGACGAGTCACTGATGTGAGAAGGGCGCCTTTGAAAGACCTTTCTAGGAGGCACGGCCCTTGGCCCTGCGAGGGGAGGGGCGGGTGGCGGAGGGCAGAAGGGGGAAGAGAGTCATGGGGCCCAGCGCTCAGAGTCTCCATGTGTCACCACATCTACCTGTCAGATGCTGGCCGAGGAGGAAGGAAGCGGGAGAGACGAAGCAGGGTGGTGGTGGGGTGGCGGGAAAGCGGGGTCCCCGCGAGCCTGCGTGACTGACGGGTGTCCCTCCTGCCCCACCCGCAGGCTACCAGATCGCCTACCGCCTGGCCAGCAGCAGCCCCAACACGTTCACCACGGTGGAGGTGGGCGCCACGGTGAGGCAGTTCACGGCCACGGAGCTGGCCCCAGAGTCGGCCTACATCTTTCGGCTGTCGGCCAAGACGAGGCAGGGCTGGGGGGAGCCGCTGGAGGCCACCGTCATCACCACTGAGAAGAGAGGTAAGACCTGAGACCCGAATCTGCTGTCCTGGTGCCACAGCGGGGAGAGACGGCCCCGCGTGGGAGCCGGGGACTTGCTGGGTCCACGGCTTCCTGGGTCAGGCCCTGGGTGGCTCCAGGACCCATGCATTTATCAAGCACCCGCTGAGCCGCACCTGTAGCCGGACACATTACCATAGGGTGCCTACACGGCCTGACATTTACCAGAGAGGCACGAATGTCCCGGCTTTAACGAGAGAGACGCGGCTCACAGAGGTTGTGTCACTGGCCCAGGGCTGCACTGAGTCCCCCTGTTTAAGGGCAGCTCCCTGAAGGCAGGTGCTTGGTCTCTGATGTTCAAAACCACGTGCCCAGTCGAGCAGGTGCTCGGTAAGCACGCTTCCTGCCCAGCACTCCTAGGGAGATCTGTCTGGACGGGCGCCTCCTCCGTTCCAAGCACCGTCTCGGTTTGTCCTCACCAAGCTTGGGGGCAAGAGCGCTGCAAGCCCCAATTCTGTGGAAGAGGAAGTTGGGCCCAGACGGATCCAGTGGTTTGCGTGGACACGGCTCTTCCCACAGAAATCCACTGCGGGCTCCCATCTCACCGAGGCCCTGCCCTCGAGCCTCGCTCTGGAATCTGCCTCAGCAGCCTCCTCCCCGGGGGCCACCGCTCCGGGCCTCTGACCCTGGCAGCTCTGGCTGCAGGTTCGAAGGCTGAACCCTCCCCCTGTCTGTGAGTCCCGTGACCCCAAACCCTGAGCCTCAGTTCCCCAAAGATGACGAGGCCCACCCCAGAGCAGCTGCAGCCTCCCCGAGATGCTCGCCCCCTCCTCCCACGAGCATCTCTGCTATTAACTGGAGGACAGAAATCCCAGGGTCACAGAGCGCCCTCCAGAGCGTGAAGCAGGTGGAGGAGACGGCCACGCACACGCGGGCCCCGCCGTCAGCCCAAAACGCGGTCCATCCGATGGCCCCCAGCACGGGGCCCTGGGAGAGAGGACGGGCCCCGGGAGAACCCCTCCTACAGCTGCGGCCAAGGTCCACAGGCTCGTCCCGTCCGGGACACGGTCTGGCCAGCGCTCTCAGTGCCAGGGAAGCAACCCTGGGCCCTGAGGGCCACTCCCAAAGCCTCTCGCGTTCCTCAGAATCCGTGCAGCCCTGTAGGGAAATCCAGCACTTTCTAAGGCACGGGGAAAGACACAGGTTTGCTAAAGGTCTGATGTGACTTAAATCCAAGTGGAGGCATTAACACGAGTGCCCTTCACGAGGCACCCTGGTCTGGTTCACAGCGGAGCTGCTGGGGCTGGGAGACGTGTGCCCACACCACAGCTGTGCCCCAACCCCCGCACCACGTGCCTAGGGCTCACACCCCAGCTCGCACCCCGACCCCCCCCACCAGCTGCCTTACCCACACCCCAGCTCGTGCCCTGCCCCCTGCTCCACCTGCCTGGGGCCCACACCCCAGCTTGCACCCCAAACCCCCGCACCACCTGCCTCACCTGCACCGCAGCCTGTGCCCCGTCCCCCCGCACCACCTGCCTCACCCACACCCCAGCCCATGCCCTGACCCCCCGCACCACCTGCCTCACCCGCACCCCAGCCCGCGCCCCAACCCCCCCTCACCACCTGCCTGGGGTCCACACCCCAGCCCATGCCCTGACCCCCAGCACCATCTGCCTCACCCACACCTCAGCCCGCACCCCGGCCCCCCCCGCCCCCCCGCCGGGGGGCCCCCCCCCAGCTCCTACCCCAACCCCCTGCACCACCTGCCTGGGGTCCACGGAGCTCAGCGGATTTCCTCCAGGGCCCACAGGCCCTCCGTGCTCTAGGCTCAGAGAGAGGGGGCCCAGCAAAGCTTTGCCCAGGGGAGCTGTGCTCAAGGGGCAAGGGGGTATGAGGAAGCAGGCAGCCCCAGCTCCAACCCTGCGAGAGGACTGCTGACCGGGTAAGACGGAAGCGCTCCTCCAGACCGTCACCACAGGGCCCGCAGTCAGTCGCCGCTTTATTACCCACCACGCACTCTCCTCCGAATCAATAATCTTCATGATAAACCATTAAACAGTTATTCCTCCCTGTGTGGAGTCGCCCTGTTGGAATCGATGGGCGAGGAGGCGCGGGACCGTAACGATCCACACTCCGAAGCGGGGTCCTGGCCCCGTGCACCCTGCGTTCCCTGTCGCCGCTGCGCAGGGCGGCAGTGACCGGCCCCGGGGATGCTGAGCTGGACGCCGCCGTGTGTCAGGCTCGGGTCGGCCTCCGCACGACAGACGCACTGAGCCCGAGATCAGAGGGGCCTGGAGGTGCTCGCAAGAGCCCAGGTGTCATTCGGAGGTGGTCGTGTGGGGGGCACGTGTGGGTTCACCTCTCTCTGTCTCTGCGCTGACAGTGCCGCGTTCCGGGAGCAAGCCGGGGTCTCCAGCCACGTGCGGGAATCATCTCCACGTTGTCTGATCCCGTGGGGAGCCGAGTCCCCAGGCTTGTGCTCCCGCGGAGCCCTCCCGGAGAAGCACCCTCTCACGGCCCCTGCTCTGTTCTCTTTGGGTTGCAGAGCGGCCGGCGCCCCCCAGAGAGCTCCTGGTGCCCCAGGCAGAAGTGACGGCTCGCAGCCTCCGGCTCCAGTGGGTCCCGGGCAGCGACGGGGCCTCCCCCATCCGCTATTTCACCGTGCAGGTGCGAGAGCTGCCGGGGGGAGAGTGGCACACGTACTCCTCGTCCATCAGCCACGAGGCCACGGCCTGTGCTGTCGAAAGGTACCCGGAGCCGGGAGGGCCCTCCCCGGGGAACGGGCGCCTGCTCTCGCCTCTGCTCCTAGCGCACGCTCCCTCCGCCGGGGACCAGGATTCCGCGTCCTGGAGCCCACTCGGGCCTCCCCGGGTCTGGCCTTCTACGCACGCCCCGCGCAGGTGTGGTTTGCAAGCCCAGGCCCCGGGGACGGAAGAGGCACAGATGACGGGGACGTGAGCCCGGAAGCGTGGGCCCCGCGCCTTACCCCCTAAGACGCAGGTGTGGAGGAGGGGAGGCGCAGGGAAGGGGTGTTGCGGGCTGAAAGAGTCGCACCTTCTCTTTGTGCTCCCTCTCGTAGTCAGCAAGGCAGGCGGCTCCCACCCCTGTCAACCGTTCGCGATGGCTGATCAGGGGCGTGGGAGGAGCGTCCCCGCTGCACGATGAGAACCCCGCATGTATCCAGTTATCAGTGAGCCACCAGGCAAGGGGGGGGAAGGGAGCAGCACCGACCACCACAGCTCAGCTCTTGGCTCCCATGGCCTCGTTTAGGACCCTTCTCCCATTCCCACCCCTCTCTACAGTGTGAGGGACAAGGGCTCCCCCCTCTACGGTGGGGTCAAGGACACCCGTCTCTATGGCGAGGGACGAGGGCTCCCCCTCTATGGCGGGGGAGGAAGGCTCCGTAACCATCTAGGTGAGGGTTCTCAAAAGTGACCTCAGGCCCCACGTCCCCACGGTGGGCCCGGGCTGCACTGCTCACACCGCCCTGCAGAAGCCCCAGGATATCGGGGGGCAGGCCTGTCCAGGGAGCTGGCCCGACATCTTCCTTGTGCTCCTTCTGTGGCGCTGGCCACGGTCACTTTCCATGAAGCTCACATCTGGCCACGAGGGGGCCGCTGAGGAACACGTCCCACGGGCTCCCAGGGTTCCAGGAGCCCGGCCAGCCCCTCTCGGGAGGGCAGAGGAGGGCCAGATGCTATTTCCCAGGCTGGCCGTCATTGAGACCCAACACCGCGTCCTCGGCGCCCCCGCACCCCGGTTCTGGGCACCGTCCTGGGAGATTTCGCACGTTTCTCATCAGACCCGCACGGTGGACCGGTGGGGGGAGACCGCCGTCCCCATTCTATGCGTGAGAGCCGGGGTCTGAAGAGTCGTTCTTGCCTGCGGCCCCAGCATCTGCCATGGCGTCCTGACCCGCCCCCTCTGCCAGGCCGCGGGGCTCAGCTCCCGCCCTTGGCCGAACCCGAGCGGAGGGAAAGCAGCCCGGGTGGGGGCTCCTGCGGCAGTCTCGACCCTCACCCCCCCCACCCCGGAGGGACAGTGCAGGCTGCGGGGCGCCGTGGGGGCTGGAGCGTGGCTCCGTCACCGCCTCCAGCAGGTGGCAACAGCAAGGCCTAGAGAGAAGGGTTTGGGGAGCGAGCACATGACCGAGGTGGCGTGTGATGCGCACGTGGGCGTGGTCAGCACTGGGGCGTCGCAGGAAAGCAGAGACTGAGGCCTCAGTTGTCCAGGTGCAGGTGCCACGCGGGCGGTCTTGGGCAGCTCCTCAGAGCTCCCCTTTCGTGCTGTTGTGTGGCTGCGAGTGGCACGCGGGTCCCGGCAGCGCTGGGCCCGGACAGTGGTGGGGAGCGTGTGTCCTCCCCGCCCATCCATGAGCTGCCCCGAGCAGGTGGCACGGGTCTCCCAGCATCTCTGTCGTGGCCCCCAGATGTAATGTCCCCTTTGCAGACGGCCTTCAGGGCGGGTTGCAGTCTGAGAAGGAGGGCAGCTCGTCAGCTTACAGCTCCAGCTGCCGGGGACCCAAATGATATTTGTGGCCCAGTGACAACCCCCCCCCCCCCGTCACATGATGCGGGCGGCACCAGATCAGTCCGGAAGGGAGGATGAACAGCCCCCAGCACCAGGGGTGTGTCCAGTGGGGCCCGAGGCACGGCCTGGCCCCCCACGGAAGGGTCGGCGGTGGCTCAGACGTGCGCGTTGGCGAGCTGGTGTCTAGAAAACTAGATACGGTTACAGCTGTGATTACACTTTTCATCGTAGGAAGAGCAGGTGGGAGTGGCATCCGTGTGGTGCTCACCTCTGGGACCTCGTCTGGAGGCTTCAGACCGTCAGGGCTCCCGCGGGGTCTTCCTCGCCGCGGTCACCATCAAAGCCGCTGTCGTTGCCACTGTCGTCCCCACGCCAGACGGCATTCTGTCCTTCTCGGGGCTCCGCACGGTGTCCATCGCAGGCCCGCAGGCGTCCAGACCACACTTGGCAGATGAGGAAGCAGAGGCGGAGACACAAGCTGCGCTTCTCCGCATGAGAGAGAGAGGCCCTCGGGGCCCTTCAGCTCTGGTGCCAGCTGGGTCTGTAGCTCCAAGCTCACGGCCGCAGACTGTCCCACTAATGCACGAGGGCCTGCGGTTGGTGTCTTATCACCCAGACGCCGAGCCCGCAAAGTCCGCCGAGCCCGGCAGCGCCGCGGCCTTGGGAAGGTCCGCCGCACAGGCTCGCTGGGCCTTGTTGCCTCATGTGTGAAAGACAGAGACAGAGGGATGACCTCGCTGTTCCTTTCAGCTCTGCGACCCCGAGATTTGCCTCCATTAGTCCCCAGCAGTCCCACTCCGTCCCCCACTTCTGCCAGCACCCCACTTACCCTTGGAGCAACAGCCCCAGGACCCGAGAGGCGCAGCTCTCAGCCCCTCGGAGGACAGCATCCTAGCTGCCCCCCTCCCAGGGCCCTGAGTCCCCCCGAGGGTCGGGAGGGCGCGGCCGAGCCAGCCCAGCTTGCTTCGTAAACTCCACTGTGCTGCGCTGGTGCTCGGCTTAATTAGAATGTGCTTGCGGATAAAAACGACCCCACCTCCATGTGTGACCATCCCGGAGAAAGGGGAAAGGTAAAATCCACCGGCCTTTCCTGTCAGGGAATCTCCTGAAATCAAACAGACCAATGGTGTGCACGGGACTTCGTGTTGGAGAGGAGGGGGCCCGTGTTTCCGGACAGTTGGACTTGCCGTGGGAGAAGCGGTCATCAGCCCCCAAAAGGGCCCCCTCCGCCCGTCAGCAGAAACAAGCCACCGGCCCCCTTCCCGAGAGAGCAGTGCTCTGTGCGGCCCCGTGGCACGTGTTCTCGTAGCTACATTTTCCTTCCTTTTTTTACATTCTTTTGACATGTTACTTGTGCCGATCGCATGAAATCCGCTAATGACCAGAAGACCTGAAAGTCTCAACAAAAGTTCTAAGCAAGAAGTTTAACCGTCTGCATCAAGGGGCCGTCCCCACATGTAGAGGACGTGGCTCTGGAGCAGGAGGGGTGGCGCTGGGCTGAGGGACATACCGAGGCAGCGTCGGTCCCTGGTGGGTGACTGCCGCCCACAGAAATGCAGTTCCGTCCAGGAGGAGAAGGTCCACGGGACACACGGACATTCTGGATGTCACTAGGGTGGGATGGTGGCAACGTGAGCTCAGGCGATGGCTGCGTATCCAGTGATAATGCGTTCTGCCATCCCTCTGCACATCCCCACGGGGACACCGTGGACCCAGCCCAAACTACCGCGACCAGAGGGGATTAGGGTGTGAAGCACCAGGGATTCCGCTAAAGTCAGTGCGCTGGCCTCATGTCCACTGCGTTCTTGGTCTGCTCGTCCTCGTCCTCGTCGTCCTCCTCCTCCTCTTTGCCCTCCTCTTCCTCCTCCTCCTCCTTCTGTGTGATCTTTAAAACTAAAGCCATGTGAGAAGTCAGGTAAATTTGGCCAAGGATATTATCCAGGGGTTCGATATTCCTTGCTCTCTGTGATGCAAATCATGAGTTCTTAATAGGTGTTTTCAGTACCTTACAGGTAGTATTAAGTACAGAGAGGCAGTGGTAGGTGACGTCTAAACTCCTCAGGACTCGTGCTTCATTATTACAACCGAAATGGATGAATGAATCTCGGGAGCTCCTTCTGTGTGTGAGACACTGCCTCTAGGTCGGTGGGAGGAACCCGGACTGTAAGCCGCGTCCCTCCGCCCCCACCCAAGCGCTTAAATATAACACACCGAGTAAACGTAAGCTCTGCATACGGTGACAAGGGGCATTTCCAGAGCATCTCCCGCGTGCCGGACGCCGCGCTGATGGTTACACGCGTTCAACCCTCCCAGGGCGCTTTGGAGATAACTATTTCATTCCCATCCATTCATTCATCCACTCATAGACATTCACCGAGCGCCTCCTAGGTGCCAGGCCTTGTTCTTGGTGCTGGGGGCACAGCAGTAAATGAGGCCAACTCGGTCCTTGTCCCCACGGAGTCCTGAAGGTGGAGGAGGCAGACGGTGGTCAAGGAAGAAACGGCTAATGACAGATCACGGCGGGGGAGATGAGGAGACAGATGGGCACTGAGCACGGTGGGACGGGCTCTTCCTAGGGCCACGTATGCTGGTACCAGAGGGCGGTGATGATAAGGAGAACAGCCTGTATTTGGTGAGCACGCACCGGGTGCCAGAGTCTCTTCCACGTGCTTCTTCTGAGTGTGATCCACACGCCCACCTCACGACCTGGGCGCCCCTGTGGCATGTCACCCTGCCCCAGGTTACAACGGGTTAGAGTGCACGCAGTTTGGCTCCAGAGTGCACGCTCCTGGCAGCTGGCCCTCCACCGCCCTCTAGTCCAAGAAGGAGAAGCTAATCCAAACACGGGGGCCTCCGGTGAGTGAGGCAGGAAACAGGAGAAAAGCTCACGGTTGTCACCAGAATTCAATGAAATAGCTCCTAGGAAGCTAAGAACAGATGGGAAGTTACTTGTTTATTTTAACTTAATAGAGGAGATCTCCCCCAGAATCCAGGAGCAAAGATCATTCTTAAGGGTGGCACTTTAGAAGCACCCCCGGGACTGGGGCGCCAGGGTGCCTCAGTCGGTCAAGCATCCCATTCTGGCTCCGGTCATGATCTCGCGTTCATGGGTTCAGTCCCCGCGTCGGGCTCTGTGCCGACAGCCCAGAGCCTGGAGCCTGCTTCTCCCTCTCTGTCTCCCTCTCTCTCTGCCCCTCCCCTGCCCAGTCTCTACCTCTGTCTCTCAAAGAAATAAAACAAAACCTTAAAATTAAAGGAGCACCCCCAGGACAGCCGGGGCCACAGCAGGGTCGCCTGCCACTTTTCCAGCTGTGGCACCAGGGTGCAGAGAGGCCGGGAGACAGGCCTGCAGTCGCGGACCAGCCACAGCAGGGCGAGGCCCCGTCTCGGCGGGGCTTCAAGGAAGAGTGTCCTGTGCCGGCCGACAGAAGCAGTGTCATCCCGTCCCACCATCTTCAGCGGGAGAGCAACGTGAAAACAGGGCTAGAGGAAGACTCTTCTGACCGTGGGTCCAACAGTAGTTACCTCGCAGAAAAAGCAGAATCCTTCCTCGAGGCATCATTACCCAGACCCCACTCACAAGCCGGACGGAAGTGGGGCCGCTGTCGGCTGACGCAGGGGGTGTGGGGACCCCGGTCTCCGAGAGGGCCCGTCGGAGCCTCCCAGGCTCCACGGGGCTTGGTTTGAAGCCCACAGGTTTCTAGGCTGGCCCGGGAGGGAGGACAGTGGACCGGCTCAGAGGCGGTGAGGGCTTTGCCTGCTAGTAGCGGAGGAAGTGGGCCACACCTCCCCTCCCGAGGGACGGGAGGGGCAGAGCCCAGGGTCACGCTACTCTCCCGGTCTGGGAGACAGACACCAGGGCGTCCACAGGAGCAGTCCAGCCGAGGACCAGACGAAGACGGTGTCCTCCGCACAGAAGTTTGTCCTGAGTCCTAGTCTTGGGCGACGTACGGAGCTCAGCACACCAGCCCCGTCAGCACGGAACTGCTCGAAGCGGGGGAAGGAAAGGAGGAAAGAAAGGACGGTGGTGGTCCAGAGGTGGCAGCCAGCAGTGTGCCGTAAATCCTTGCCGGGGGCTGGGAGGGGACGTTTCCCCGCCTTGGACAGTTGGCATTATCTCCGTCTTAGGTACAGTGGACGGGGTGGCCTCATGACAAGGTCTTCCTCCAGCCCTGGCCGGGCCATTGACAGCCCTCTGGCAGCGGGCAAGGGACTTAACGGGACTGGGCCTCTATTTACCCATCCTTGAAACGGGAATCACCACGAACGCGCCCCACAGGGCTGCCGTGCCGTTAACCGGGGCGAAGCTGGTGCCGCGTCCGGCTGCATAAACAGGGATGAGGGGCGGGGAGGGGGGGGGGGCCGGGGGGGCCCGGCCAGCGCCGACCCGCACAAAGGAACACGTACAGGTGAGCAAGGATGTGGTTAGGCGGAGCGGTTTCACGCTCTGAATGGTGTGAGGGATGTGGTAATTAGCTCCTCCTGAAGAATTCCGAGTCCCTCAGAGAGCACTGGTTTCCTCTGCAGGAGAGGGTCTAATTAGAGGAGGAGGTGGTTCCCCCCCTCCCCCGCCGGAGGAGCCCAAAGCAAAACCGCCTTCCCGGCCAGGGAGTTCCGGGCTCCCCTCCTGTCTGGAAATGCCTCCCAGACAGACAGAGCTGGCGGTCTGAGGGCCCCTCCCCGGGCAGGACTGACTCCCTGGTCCCCGGCGCGTCTTGCTCCAGCTGCCCACTCACTCTGGCCGGAGCCCCGGGGCAGGGGGCAGAAGGGAAGGGCTCAGGACTCAGCCTTTTTTCCGTGTTTCAGGCTGAGGCCCTTCACCTCCTACAAGCTGCGCCTGAAAGCCACCAATGACATCGGGGACAGTGACTTCAGTGCGGAGACGGACGCCGTCACCACGCTGCAAGACGGTGAGCCGGCCGGGCCCCCGGCGGGTGCGGACGCTGGCCCCTTCCCGGCTGCCACCTTTGGGCACCAAGACACGGGCTTGCAGAGAGAGGCCCCGCTTTCATCTGGAGCCAGGAAGGGGTCACCCGCGGGAGGGAGGGCGGTGGCGCGAGCAGTAGAATTCAGTCAGCGACACGCGGCTCCCAGCTCTCCGTACAGCCTGTGGCCGTGAAGCCGACTTCAAGGGCTTCCAGATGGAACGGGGGTTTCTTTGATTGGCTTCCAAACCTCTTCGACCCATCAGCAGCCCAGAAATTGAATAATTTATGGAGTCATTAAAAATAAATGTCGCAGGGCGGCTGGGTTTTCGGAGGTGTCCGCATGTTTTTCTCATCCACAAACCACTCCCCAGTCTTGCCATTTGGCAAAAGCACGCCGGTAAGCCATGGCGGATGGGGGCGAGGTCCCCTAAAAGCTCCAGGCGGTCTTGACCCGCTCCCTCCCACCTCGGAGGAGCGGGGCTGAAGAGCTGGTGTGATTTTGTGTGCGGATCCCGCCGGGCCCGGGCCAGAGCCACGACATCGGTGTAGGTCCCGCCGGGGGCGCCGCCCCCGCGGTCAGGCCCGCTTTCAGTGCTGCAGCCCTCGTCCCAGGCCGCAAGCCTGAGCCCTCCACTCGCCCAGCAGCAGCGCTGGGTTCCTTCCCAGAGTTTCCGTCTTCCTCTTTTATAGCCTGGGAGCCTAGCTTCACTGGCATGCGGCCTCGGTGCCCTGGAGGACCGGCAGAGGCGTCCCGGGACCCTTCCGGAAGCACGCCCAAGGGGCCCACGGCCTGAACAGGCCCCTCAAAAAGCTGGTCATCTCTCTGGCTCCTATTTTAATCTTACGTTTAACACAGCTCAGGTGCTATTTGAGACGAAGCATTAATTCTTGGCAAAAAGAAGCAAATAGAGCAAGCTGATTTTGTAGGGAGTCTCGGGAAACTGCAAGCCAGTGAGCAGGACCCCGCGGCCTCCCTTACGGGGCTCAGTCAGAAGTGGCCTGTTCTGAAAAGAAAAAAACATTCAGGGGCCTCTTCCAGGCTCCCGAAGGCCTGTCTCAATCCTTTGATATTTAAATCACGTCTTTTGAGGCACCTGTCCTGTTGTCTTCCTCTTCTGAGATTCACAGTTTTCTCTTTGCAGTTGGTTCGCATTGTGTTTGCACTGTATTGTCCCCAGAACCGCAGATCTGCTGAGACTCTCAGACTCGAGGGCTTGGGAGCCCTGGGCCAGGGGCGGGGGTTTTCAACGTGTGGATGGTTTGCTGAGAAACGTTTTCTTACTCTGGTGGTTGGGCTGTTGAGCCCCCCTCCCCCCCGAAATTGTAATCGGGTGTGATCCAGAAAGCTGGATGAGGGTCACCACCGACTTAAGACAGACCAGCAAGAGGCCAGAGAGCAGGGTGGAGAGAGCTCCCCAGAAGGCAGGATGGGGGGCTGGAGGTGTGTCTGATGTCCCAGGGGCGGGGTGCCCCGGCAGGTACAGAGCAGGCTCACAGAGCAGGTGACCCGGGGACCAAGATTTGGCTAGTCACGTGGGACGGGGTGGGGAGAACAGCCTAAATCATTCCAGTCAGTGACCATTCGTGAACACTTAACGCACGGCCTCAGGATCTCACAGCGGTGGACATGGCGGACAGCTGCAGGGTTTTAGTTCCCAGCGTGTAAGGCCACGTCCACGTGTAGACAACCCTCAGCCACTAGCAGTCACACCCCTCCGTGACAGTCACATTCGCGCGTGAGCACGGGAGCACTCTGGCCTGGCCCGATCTTTTGTCCTGTTCAGAGCCACTCTGACCTACGCACCTCAAAAAATTGATGGCTCTCCCCGAGGGAGGTGGTGTGGACCCCTGAGTAGATGTGGAACCGGCAGGAAGGCTCCCCGAGCAGGGTTCCCAGGGAAGAGAGCCTCACGCACCCTGCGTCTCTGTGTGGGTCCGCCTGGGGGGTAAGGGCAGGGCACTGTCCGGTCCCTTCTTTCCCGTTTGCAGTTGGGCGGGGAAGGGCATCCACAGGGAAGGGAGGGAGGTGGGGCTGCTGGCTGGCCCGCTTCCCAAGCCCCGGCCAGGCCCCGGCCCTGCATCCTCGCCAGCACCAGGAGAGGGCTGGCTCCCGGACGGTGGCCAAGTACAGCCCGGACCAGCTAACCCTGGCTTTCTTCTTTCTTGGATTCCAGTTCCAGGAGAGCCTCCCAGTTCCGTCTCGGTGACACCGCACACGACCTCCTCCGTTCTGATCCAGTGGCAGGTAAGGGCCAGGGAATCACAGGGTTATTTCCTATGCCACTGTCGGAGGCCCGGGCCCCTCGTCAGGGTCGCCGGTCAGAGGAAACAGCCTGGTTGGCGTGCAGATGGGGCCGCAGTGCACGGGGCTCCCTGATGGCCACGCGTGTGGGAATGAGCTTGAACGCAGCTCACCGGGGAGGGCCAGCAGGACGGCAGGGCTGGTGCCCAGCGTCAGGGCGGAATGTTCCAGGCATCTGGAGAAGGGTGGCCCAGCGAGGCCTCCATGGCACGTACAGAACTGGGTGGCGTCCTACAGGGCAGTGAAACCACAGCCTGTGGAGGTGTCTTTTCTACAAGAATCATTTGCAACCAGACACGATACCCGCGGGGAGTCCTCCCTACTCCCAGGTCTGAATCTTCAGTGAGTCAAATGAAAGCACGCTATCCTACATAATCAAATAATCTCGGGCTTCTAAACAGCGCTGTATTAGGACATAGAAAGGACACTGTGCCCTCTCTATGACAAATTGGAAAATTTCGGTGCTTTTGCTAACAATACCGTGCATCGAGAACAAAAATAACAGAGGGGCAGAAGTGCCGAGGAACCGACCAGGTCTGAGGGAGAGGGCTCACCAGGCAGGGGGTCGGGTTCACGAGCCGGGCTGGAGCCGGGCCGGGCAGGGGCCCAGGGCAGTGGTGAGCACATCGTGGGGGCTCTGGCCAACGAGGAGGTTCCTGAGGCCAGAATGGGGCGGCTGTCCTGAGGAGGGGGAGGGCAGTGCCTGGAGCCGGGGGTTGTGGGGTCGGGAGGTGGGGCCCGGTGCCCTGGTCTGTGTTTGTGGCCGCAGTGAGGTGAGGTCTGCCTCCGACCCGTGGGCCGCAGAGGGGGTCTGTGCGGCGTGGGCTTCTTCCTTGAGGGGACCGTCCGGGAGAGTGCCGGCAGGAGGAGAGGGGCCGGTGTGAGGGTCTGGAGGTGGAGGCACCCAGGTGACGCCGGAACCGAGAGGAGGCCATGGTCTGGGTGTGGCCCTGGAGAGAGAGAGGCCGTGCCTTGCTGGGGGCAGAGGCTGGCACGAAGGGAGGGCTGGAAGGGATTCCTTTGGAAAGGGTGGAGATGAAGGGCAGGGGTGGGGAGGGAGAGGGGAAATGCAGAGGTGACCTTTGGGGAACCTGTCCTAAGTGGACGGCCTCCAGCAGCCGGGACGGGGCACGCTGGAGCCCAGTAAGGAGCAAGAGGGAGAGAAGCACCGAGTCGGGAGGCCCCGGAGCACCAGGGTCGGGGGTGGGCGCCAGCCGCGAGGGGGCTTCCCGAACTCTCGGGTGGTGGCTCCTGACCGCCGAAGGTTCCCGCTGCCTCCCCACATGCGACCACTCGGCACCACCCACGTGCACGTTGGCCACGACTGAGGAGTACAGCCGGGAGACCCATGCAGGCGGAACTTGGCAAGCCTCTCTCCCCGGACGAGAGCCGGACTTCCATAGCCCGGGTTCCAGTAAGCACGCGGTAGTCTCCAGGGATTGACAGAGTGGCTGTGGGCCCTTCTTCACTCTCTGCTGCTAAGTGACACCTCCCAGGGGTGAGGGAACCCTTAAAGGTGATCAGGAGATAGTTCCAGACGTCATCCGGTGAAAGTGGAAATTGGCCGCTGTGGCATTCTGTAGTTTCCGGCCTCACCGGAGGGCCTGCCTCTGGGAAGCTGCTTCCCTGGACCGCATCACGGAGCCCCAGCTAAGTGACAAAGGACTCTGGTCTGCAGACCCCAGTTCGCGGGGGGACCGCCGTGACCCCGACAGGCGTCTCTGGCTCCAGGCCCCTCCTCTGTAACACTGGGAGGTCAAAGGTGACCTCCGAGGTCTCTGACGCGAGCCCTGTTAGGTGTCCACACGTCTGGCTGCAGCAGGGCCTTTGGTGGGTGAGGGGGAGACGTTCAGAATGGCAACGCAAGGTCCCAGGAGCTTCTGTGCCCCACTCTCCACTGACTCAGTCAGCCAAAAGATGGGTCTTGTCTACTGTGCTAAATTCTACCAGAAAATGAGCTTGCTCTTTGTAGACGCGCTATTTGGCTTGCCAGGCGCTAGGTGGGCTCCTTTACGATCGAGGCTGTGCTGAGGCTTGGGGTGCACCCTCACCTCCACACAGCGGCTGTTGGGCCCCCGTCCTGCCCCCCACCCCACCCCCGAGCGCGCGGGGCTCCGCGCCCCTCGGTTGCGGTTGGACGGCTCCGTGGATGGTGGGTAGCTGCACCAAAGGAACTTGGCATGTGTGGCCATCGGCTGTCCCTGTTCAGAGCCCAGTAGAACAAACTAATTGCCAGGAGCCCAGAGCAGGAGGTGGTCAATACGATGTATTGTAGAAATAAATGCCTGTCAACTGCCAGGCAATTGAAGTATAATTAAAATTATGAGTAATTTACTAAATTAGAGCGAAGAGAACAAAGAGACTCCGTTTAAATATAGATTTGCATTCCAAATGAAACGTTTCACCTGTAAACCCTTTTTTTCCCCCAGTAATTTGTTTAAAAATGCGAACACCGCCTGTAATTTCAAGGCTGCTGACCCACTTGAGTGGCCCCTGTGTCGAATCTGTCAGGTTTCATTTTTCCTGGTAGGATAATCGATCTCTGCCTTTCATGGGGTCCAGTGCTGTTTGAAATCTAAGGATTTGAGCGTCTATTCTAGACAGCGATGGTATTGTGTCCACACCGAGTGCAGCTCATAATAGACACGCTTCTGAATCGGTCGCAGCACTCAGGCTGGCTGTTCTGAAACTTCCGGGGGCTCCTGCAGTCTGTCACTCAAACGCGGTTGGCTTTGTGTGGCCGCAGACTTCTCTAAGTGGAGGTTGAGGCCATTTTTGAGCAGAAAAACACCCTCTTAGGCCATAGATCATATCGTGCACGTTGGACTCAGCACAGGGTGAACTCGGTGCCGGAACAGGCACCTTCCTAAGAGGACGGTGAGCCCGCCTGGACAGCGGGCAGTGGGGCCTCCTCAGGACGTATCTTGGCTTTGTTCCTTTTCTCCATCACCTGCAGAGGACCGGTTCCTGCATAGGGTGCTTAGCACTCAGGGGTGGACAAGACCCAGTCAAGACCTCGAGGACCTTCTGTTTACCGGGCTGAGCCCTATGACGCATTCGTGGGAAGACGTGGAGGGGGGCAATCGGCCCTCGTCAGGGGGGCCGGGAGGGGGCTTCTGGCTGTGTCTTGCAGGATGAACGCTCCCTGGCCCCCACCCCAGGTAGAAGGCAGAGGGATGGGCATCCGGGCGTCACGCACAGACAGAGCAAAGGCTCAGAGGTGTGACAGCCACCGGGACTCAGCACCAGGCTTCAAAGGGAGGCGTGTAGGAACCAGGTTTTCTAGGGCCTCCTGGGCCCAAGCGTCTCCCAGACAGGCGGCCAGTCCAGGATGAAACTAACCATCGATGGGGTCATCTGGGACGTCAGCAAACCCCGCTCGCTCCCAACAGGCACGGAGCGAGCACCTGCTGTGACCAGAGCCTGCCACAGGTGCAGTGGGGAAATAGAAAGGAAAAGACGCAGACGTGGCCTTGCCTCCAGTCCGCATGGAATTGCAAACTACAGGCATGGTGTGGTCAGGGCCGAGGGCTGGAAAAGCAGGTCTGTGGCTGAAAGGGAACCTTCTGGCCAGAGTCACAGGAGGCTCTACACAGTCTAGCCAGGCTTCCACCTGCTAGGGATATGGGACTGAGCCTGGGAGGTTGAGCAACTGGCCCAGGCCCACACTGCTAGGAGCCAAGACTCCATTCCAGAGCCTGAACTCAGCCCATGGCTTCTGGAACTTTCTGTGTGTCGCATGGAGCTGCCCTACAGATGCCTCCCAGGACATCCAGAGTCGTAGAGGCCTCTTTCACAAATGACAGATGGGTTTACTCCAGACTCCTGGAATAGAAAATGTGGTTAAACCCATTTCAGCATCCCGTGTGGCAGACCCCGGAGTCTCCATGGAGCCTGCCCTTTGTGGGGCCAGGACCTATTGCAGCCTTAAGGAGGCCACCCTCCGGGCTGCATGGTCACCTGTCCCCTGCCCAAGCCCAGATGGCTCCTGCAGGGAGGGCCGCGCCAGGGCATTTCGGGAGCAGCCGCCATTGAGTCTGTTGCCACACATGGGTCCTGCCCGGTCACGGATAGTGGCTGTGCCTGTGGGACGTGGGCTTGGCTCCCTCTCCTCGCACCTGGAGACCACCCTCTCCTCCTCGGCTAGAAATGCTCGTGTGCCCAGGATGAGTGGCCTCGGCCCTTCCCCTCCTCCCTCCAGCCCGGGATGTGTGTGGACACAGATGCCGTGGGCGGGGTATTTGCTGCCTGTTGGAGAACCCCATTTGGGCCCCAGGGAGGACACTTTTTTTCCCGAACTCCCAACTTCCTGCTCGTTGATAATTGTGGCAAGTGAAAGCCAGTCTCCCTAAACCCCGGCTTCTCTCTCCATAAAAAGCGAATTACCCTCAAGCAATTGTGCCTCTGGCCTGTGCACCTGCACAGTCAGGTCCTGGGGCCTTTGCAGCCTTCCTGCAGAGGTCAGAGGTCAGATTACCCCTGCAGCTGTCAGCTGTCACTGTCACACTGAGGCTTTGAGGGAGGCAGCCTGCATGTGAATTAACTCGAGCTTTTCTCGTGTTCAAAAACATCCTGAATATACCGGGCACGCCGTGTCCCTCTGGTACAGGCCTGCGTGTATGCCGTGGCTAGCTACATCATTATGAGTTACGTGAGCTATGCCGTTGGAGAGTCTGGACAACAGGATACTGCATCTTCCAAATCTGCCTGGTTTCTTTGGGTTGTGGGTAGCAAGGGTTGAAATAGAACAGGATTATCAGAGCATCCGAATCCCTCTGGCCCCTGGGTTCAGACAGTAAGAATTGCATTGAGAGAGTTCGGGGGCAAGGATGTGCTAATGTCCTGTGGCTGCCGCAACATGTTACTCCACCCCGCATGCTTCGAATGACAGAAACGAATTCTCACACGGTTCTGAAGACCAGAGGGCCAAAGCCAAGGCGTCAGCTTCCTTCCTGGCTTCCAGTTGCTGCCGACACCTCTGGCGGTCCTTCGCTTGTAGATGCACCAACACGTTTCTGGATCCAATTCCGAAGCGTGTGTGTGGAGGCTTCCCCACGTCATCAAGCAATTCTCCAACACCGGCAGGGTGTCTGGAATTGAACTTGATTCTACCTGGAGAGAGCATCAGGTCCCACGAGATAAGGGCTCGGTCGCACAAGGCTGTCCCCCACTTCCGAGGCCAGTCACGAGTGCCAGGTGATCGTCTGTGCTTCTGACCGGTCGGCTTTCAGTCAGGTTCCCACAGCCCTCTCCTCGGGTTTGACTAGAGCAGCTCCCAGAACTCAGAGAAGCATTTTACTTACGAGCTGCCAGTTTATTGTGAAAGGGTAGAGCTCAGGAAGAGCCAGGTGGGAGAGGTGCCAAGGGCCAGGTGTGGGGGAGGGCACGGAGCTCCCAGGCTCTCTCCACATGCTCCCCCTCCCCAAATCTTAGCATGTTTACTGACTCAGGAGCTCTCCGAACCCCATCTTCTAGGGTTTTATGGAGGCTTCGTTACATAGTCGCCATTGGTGACTGATTGAACCTCCGGTCCCTCTCCCTTCCCCAGAAGTCGGGGGGAAAGGTCCCCCCTGCTCCCCCCGGAAAGTTCCCACCCTCTGACCACACTTCCCTGGGTGAGGTCCAAGTGTCACCTCATTCACATGACAAAAGACACCTCTGTCGCTCTGGACAAAGACCTGTATATGAGAAGCAGATTTTGTCCTTCTGAAGGAACAAATATTTTTCTTGAGGGTCACAATATCACAGCACACTACTCCGGTCTCTGCTTCCTTGCACACACGAGGCTCTCCCTGTGTGTCCAAATTTCGCTCCTCTTATAAGGACCTTTGTGTCGTCTCAGTATTTATCAAATGATTGCTGGATTCTAAATTGCTTCCTAAAATATGCTTTGTCTTCAACTTTACCGAGTAGATAATGTTGAACGCTCAGGCTCCCTGTGTGAATTAACCATCGTAATACCTATTCATCAGTCCAAAGTGCACGATTACATCTGCAAGCAGTTTTGCTGCCAGTGACCTTCAGCCTTGAAGGTCGTCTTGTTGTCTTTGGGTGTCACTGAAAAGACCCAGAGATACTTTGTTTTGGGGTTTGGGGGGACTGGTAGCCTTAGCTTGTATCTGTAGGACTCAGGACTACATATCTGCAAACATTTATGTAGGGTAGATTTCTAAGAGCGTAATCGCTGGATTAAAAAGCAAGTGCGTTGACAACTTTGATAAATAAAGCCAAATTGCCCTCCAAAAAAGAAACCAGTCATTGGATTGGGGCCCTCCCTACTGCAATATGTCCTCCTCTTACCTTCACCATCTTCAGAGACCCTATTTCCAAAGAAAGCGTCATCCACAGGTAATGGGGGTTAGGATACCAACGTGTCTTTCTGGGGGACACAGTTCAACCCACCACAACAATGGGGTTTTCTTACAACAAAGCTGTGGCCTCTACTCTGGGACCAGGACAGTGTTTCCTGAGGCGCTGGTGACATCTTATAGACAGTGCCTGTGTAGGGGTCACGGGGAATCGCCCTGTGTCCCTGTCCCCAAACAGACTTCGTGACCCTGCAGCCAGGGGTCCTGGGGTGCCCTTTGTCCGTCTGTCTGGCCACAGCTTGGGTGGTTCTTGTCCTTATCTGCTGAGTATCCCAGAGGAAACACCAGAAGCAGAGCCCCTGGCCCCCTGGCTGGCATGTGGCTGCTACAGCCGTCCCCATACACATTAATCGACAGAAACTGATGGGAGGGAGAATGTGGGCTGGGCCTTGGCTGAGAAGCGGATCCCAGTGCGGGTGAAATTCTGAGCCCAGGGCCTGTCTTACCACCATTCATATTCCACGGGGTGTCTGAAGGGCGATGGGCACCCAGCCTACCCTGGGCCCGTCATATGCCAGCAGACTCTGGGGGGGGGGGGGACGCCGAGGGGCTCCAGCTTAGGTCTGAGTCAGGGCAGAGTGGGGCTGACCTGGCATGCAGAGCAGCCTGTGGTGGGGGGCAGTGAGGCTGCCACAGCCCAGGTGGCCATCAGGGACAGGGTGGGGTCAGCCCGTGGATGAGGCAGAGCCGGGCTGCATGCATAGTTCTCGTGAGTCCCGGGTTCACCAGGCAACAGGCAGCTCCCTCGCCCCTCTGCGACCTGGGCATGGTCCCCTGCCCACGGGGGCTCCTACAGGCTGCACGCGGGTCACGAGGCCCGGTGCCCACACACCAACACCAGAAAACCTGGGCCCTCAGAGAAGGCTCCACAGCCTGGCCCTCTGCCTCAGAGTCCCCTGTGCTCCTCTGCGTGAATGTGGCACTGGCCCTTTTGTTCGTAAATAACCAAGAGCCGCCTGTTTGAATCAGTGACGCGCCCCCCCCCCCCCACCCAGTGCCGTTGGCTGACTCAACTTGAAGCAGAGGTCGCCAGACCCCTCCGGTGGGCTGACCGTGATGTATTTGCAGCCTCCGAGAGACGAGAGCCTGAACGGCCTCCTCCAGGGATACCGGATCTACTACCGGGAGCTGGAGTCCGAGGCCTCCTCAGCCACGGCCTCCAAGACGCTCAAAACGCCCTCGGCTCTACGGGCCGAGCTCACAGGTGAGACGCTTTCCCCTTTCCCGGAGGTGGCACCGCCGCATGCTCCCAGGCGGGCAGCGAGGGCCCCGGGAGACCAGTGTGCATGTTTCTGCATGCAAGGCATGGTGGGAAATGCCCTGAAGGGCCAGGGGAGATGCCGCTTGCCTCCGGTGAACGCAGCCACTGGGGCGGACGGGTCCCTGCAGCAGCCCCGGCATGCAGAGAGGTGTTGGCCCGTGGAAAACACGGGGTGGGGGGGACGGGGGTAACCGGGGAGGCTTCGCAGAGCAGGAGTCCCGGGAGATAGGTTGCCCCGGAGACGGATTTCACCGAGGACACCAGGGAAGGCGCGACCCACAAGGGTCTCTGCAAAGCTAAATGGTCAGGAGGCGGGAAGAGCTGAGGGGCTCCTGGACGGCCTCACCCAAGCCCCTGGTGCGTCAGGCTGGTGGGGTGTGGCCGGGAGGGAGGAGACCTGCCGGGCCCTGTGGGGGTATCGCGCCGCTGGCCGCTGCCCGATGGGGTCCAGTCAGGGGGCTCCCCGGCCTCGGTGCACGCACAGCCCTTGCGTGGAGTGGCGCCTCCTCTCTCCCGGGGACCATCCGCCTGCTCACCTCTGCTCCCGGTACCCCTGGCTCGGGCTAGGACTTGGATGCAACAGCGGCAGAGGCAGCTTCTGGAACTTCTGGAAAGGCCGCTGCTCTCTCCCATCCTCCTCTCTCAGAAGGGGGTCAGAAGGCGTCCCCCAGATGGTGTCCCAGAAGGTGCTTCTGGCCCCTCAACCTCCTTGTGGCTTCAGAGCGTGCCGCTCGGGGACCACATGCCCGCTGTCTGCCACTGACCACCAAGGGGCCGCAGGGCCGCGGACCCACAGCGGCTCGAGGCTGCCCGCCCCAGGCGTGGTGCTGACAGGAAGGAGTGGCATTTGTTGCCCAGGCTCTTGGCCACCCCGCCCCCACCCCACAGGTGTTCCCTGCTGATGGCCAGACAGCGTCCCCCCGGGCTTTGTAGCAGATTCGAAACAACAAAATAAAAGGAGCCAGGATGTGGTTGGGTCCTTGGTTTGTGCTCTTGGTTTGTGGCTTGCCGGCCCGCATCAGAGCGGGGCTCTTACCTGAGCACAGGCAGGCCGACAGCCGTACCTGCCGCGGGGCGTCTGGAAGAGTCGGCACCCCGGGAGGAGCCCGTCTCCCGTCTCCTCTAGTGTTGTTTGTGCTGTTGTGACAGATTCTAATCCGATGCGTTTAATCAGAGGGTAAGCGCAGGCCCCCTACCTGTCACGGGCCGGGCGCCTGGCTGTCGCAGGAAGAAGTGCAGGCCACTCCCCCCCACCCCGCCCCCTGCCCTGGTGAGCCCCGAGGAAGTGCTCAGGCGCGGCGTGGTCTCTGTGGCCCTTGGACGGGCAGCGTGGGAGGCACAGCGGCTGCCGAGCGAGGTGCCGTCCCCTCCGTCTCCGCGGCCCATCGTTTGCAATAACCGCTCCCCGCGTGCTAACTGCCTTTCTGCCTTGCTCGCCCCTAATAGCCCAAAGCAGCTTCAAGACCGTGAACAGCAGCTCCACGTTAACGACGTATGAATTAACACGTAAGTGCACGCCGCCTTCAGCAGGAGGCGCTGTGACCGTGGGGCAGGCCAGGGCCAGCGCCACTTGGCCTCTCGGTGGACCCAGTGAAAAGCAGCTTGGATTAACGCCTCTAATTTCTGGAATTTCCCCTCTCAAACGCTGTTCTCAACACACCAAAACCATCAGGGAGACAGGAAAGGAAACTTCTAGAAACTGAGGCTGGGAAGGGGTTTTCCTGACAGCGGGTCTTTGACTTTGGGACGGAAAGGAAAGTCAGGTTGAGCGAGATCTCCCGTCTGGTTCTCTGTGGCCTTTCCTTCTTCCTCTTTTTTTAACTGTGATAAAATATCCATAAAATTTACCGTCTTCGCTGTCGGGAAACGTGAGGCTCAGGAGCCGTAAGCTTGCTCCCACCACGTGCGCCCGTCACCGCCAGCCTCCAGGGCTCCTTTCTCTCCCACAGTGAGACCCTGTCCCCACCGGACATCCGTCCCCCCACCCGGCCCCTGGCGCCCACCTTCCACTTTCTGTCCCTGCGTCTGAGCCCTCGGGGACACATACGAGCAAAACCACACAGCCCTTGTCCTCTTCCCCTTGGAGCTCGGTCCCTGCCGGAGCCTGCTCGAGACACTGTTCCTTCCCAAGGCTGAGCGGCGCCCCACTGCGTGCACTCAGCCCATGTTGGCCATCCGTCTGTCCTTCGCCCCTTCCCTTTGGTGGCACCACATCACTTGTCCTTGTGTTCCTGGTCCTCAGAGGGTCTCACGGTCCAAATGTGGGGCCGAGGGGGCCCCTGATGGGACCCCCTTCCGTGCAGGGAGCCTCCCTGGACTGGAATGTGGGTAAAAGGGGGGCGCTCTCCCAGGGCTTACCAGTGCCATCCCATCACATCCCAGTAGTGCCCATCACATCCCAAACTGCCCGGTGCAGTTTGCCTGCACCCCAAACACACCCCATCGTCTGTCATCTGCCCCGCGTCCCCATCTACTGCCTGGCTCCCTGTGTGCACGTAATACGTCCCAGGCTGAGGATCAGCTCAGAGGGTTAAGTGCAGCCCGGGTTCCAGAGATGAGGCTTCCCGGCCGGACCTCGCTCCGGCCTTTTCAGTCTGGGTTCTGAAGCGAGAGAGGGGCCCCCACTATACCCCGTCCACATACGCCCTGGCTTGTCTCAGGTAACACTGAAGAGCCCGACGGTCCCGGGGTGGAGACTAACAAGCTACGGCGGTGGGTTCCGAGGCATCAGGGCTTCGGCAAGGCTGAGGGCGGGGGAGAGGCCGCTGCTGGGCCGGGTGGACACCTCTGTGAGGCTGGGGTGGAAGGAACTTGGCGTCCTGAGGCTCCGAACCTCTGCTGACCGGCGGCTCGCTAGGAGGCACGGTGCGAAGCCTGGCGCGAGTCACCACTCACTCAGGGGGTCAGACCCACACGTTGGGCTTCAGGAAAGCCAGGCTGTGATGAAACAAGATCCACCAGCGGGAGAACCTTCCAGAATGTTTTGGCTCAAAGGTCGGCTGCTTTTGCCGCGTGCCCTGTGTAATCCTATATATGTGGCTTCGCACACCCTTCTCTTCCCAGGATGTGGTTGTTAAAGACTCCAAGGCCAATGTATTTCCTTTTTAACCACCAGGGTCTCACTCTGTCAGTTCTTACAGAGAGATTCTGGACCCAGCGGCAAAGCCCACATCACACTCTGTCACCTCGATTCTTTCCTCCGAAGGGGGCCTTGCTGCTGCCTTTACCCTGAGTGCAAGTGGGACGGGTCTCTGCTGCTGCACAGGGTCACCTTTAGTCCCGGGCCAGGGAAGGAGGAGGAAGGAAACGCTCGTGACGTGCCCCCGCGGCTCCCGGGTGGCACCGCCCCCTTGGTGTGGTTCTCAGGCGGGGAGATGGGCCCGGGCCCGGGCGAGCTGACCACTGTCTCCTTTGACCCGTAGATCTGAAGAAATACCGGCGCTATGAGGTCGTCCTGACGGCCTACAACATCATCGGCGAGAGCCCGGCCAGCGCACCCGTCGAGGTCTTTGTCGGCGAGGCCGGTAAGTTCCCAGTGCCCCTGAGCTCCGAGAGGCCTGGCCTGGTGCTCTCGGGTGCCAAGCGTGATGCTGGAGGACGGGAGGTTTCCAGGTCACCGCTGGGCAAGTCGGGATCTGCCGAGGGCTGGAAAGTCCCGACGGCCAGGGTGATGCTTCCAGTCTTGCTTCCAGGCCCGACGGTTTGTTTGGCATCTGGAGCCCTCCCGCTCACCAGGACGTGCTCCAGGGGAGACAGGCTGCGGCCTGCATGGGCATCCGGGCGTGTGGGGACCTTGGCATCTGCAGGGGATGCTTGTACTCTGTCGCCCTCGGTCCCTGGCTGGGCCTCAGCCTGACCTCGTGGCAATGGCCCCATCTCAGGCCTCGGAAAGTCCCCCGGATCGTTGCTTGTACCCCTTTTAGATAAGACGTGGATCCTGAGTTTGTTTCAAGGGCTGTCCCTTCCGTAGAGGCATCGTGTCGCGTTGAGATCGGCTCGGGCTTCCGTCCCCTGCCTCCCCTCCGGCCCGAGGGCCCTTGCCCGCTCTCCTCCTCCTCTGCTGGGGGAACCCGGCTCGGATCTGTGGGGGCAGTGAGCGGGCCGTGCTCTGGGCCGGGAACCACCAGAACTCCCCCGAGCACAGAGCCCCAGGCTCGGAGAAGGAGGTCCGGCCGCTGGGCCCGCCCACAGAAACGCATCAGGTGACCTTTCGCCATTCGGAGAGGTTACAGTCATAAACCAGATGGCAGATGGCAGATGGCAGCGCCGGGGGCCTAACTTGGCAGGCTTTTTCTGGAAAGGCCAAGCAAGGGATGAGGGAAAGAGATGCTTGAAGCACAGGTTCCATCGGCCTCTCTTCACATCTGTGCCCACGGGTTCCTCAGAGCCGACGGTGTGGGGGCTGGGCAGTCGGAGTTCGGGGCAGACGCCCCTGGCACATGGAGGCCAGGCAGGAGCACGGGCAGGGAGGGGACGAGGCACCCGCCGCCTGTAAGCGTGGGGCTCCAGGCCTATTCTGGCACCTGGGACCACGTGGGTCACCAGGGCGGGTGGGTAGAGGGAGGGCACCGCCAGCCAGCTGGGATCGGTGGTGCCTGAACTGCCCAGGCGGGGCCGGGGCCCCTTGTCTCCCTCCCCCTCGTTGGCTCTAGCTGCACCCGAGGCCGGGGGTCGCTAGAGGCAGACAGAGCCTTAAACCCAGAGACCAGGGCGGACGTTCAGGGAAAGGACTGCGGCCAGGGAGGGAGGCGGGTGGGCGCCGGGAGCCGTGTCGGCCGGCCACGTCACCACGGGCTGGAAGCCCAGCTCCGCGCTCTATGCCGCGGTGGCCCGTCGGCTTGTCTTGGGCCGTGGTCAGCTGTACACGACGTAAACTCCGCTGTCCCAGCCGCTCAGCGGCCTGGGGCACATTCACGATGCTGTGCCGCCCTCACCGCCGGCCGTGTGCGGGTGCGGAGGCCCATGTTCCCAGAGCCGAGCCCTCGCCATCCGGTGGTCCCTCCCCTCTCCTCTGTCCGCCCCCCCCTCCCCGCCGCCACCCCCACTGAAGCCTGTCTCGCCCGTTCGGAGTGTCTGATACGGGTGGAATCAATCCCACGACGTTTGTGCTCCTGTGCCTGGCTTCTTACACTGAACGCGGTTTCGAGTTTCGTAGCACATCTCAGCACCTCGCTCCTTCTCGTGGCTGTGGAGTATCCCGCTGTGCGCACACGCGTTTTCTCTCTCTGCATCCGCTGACGCACACTTGGGTTGTCGCCGCCGTTGGGGTTTTGGGAGAAGAGCCGCTGTGAATAATGGCGCACGGGGATTTTCCGGCGGCACTGAGCTGACGCCGAGCCCCGGTGGGCAGGAGGCCGCAGGCGGGGCCCGGGCCGCTTATCTCGCTCCCCTCTCCGGGAGGGGTCCCTGCCCCGGCTCTTCCCTCCAGGCCAGTCCTGCCGCCCCCCTCACCCCTCACGCACCTGCGCCCCATGCTCTTTCCCCACCTCGCCCGGCCTCAGCCTCCTGGACCTGTCACCCCCAGGAAAGGGAGGCTCTAGCCACCGAGCCCGGGCTCCAGGGCCATCTGGCGCCACGCACACGCTCTGGAGAGCCAGCTGTCTTGCCAAGGGCACTTGCAGGAGGTACCAAGAAGGGCTTTAAAGCCCCCAAGCGGACTTGTATGCAGTGTGTGCAGCACTGCTCCCCCGGAGCCCTGGATTCCTCCCCCTGCCGCCCAGGACCCTGCCCCAGCGGCTTCTTCTCCAGAAAGCTCTCCGACACCCCCGCAGGAGGAGTTCCACGTTTCTCCCTCTGTGCCCAGGTCCTTGGGAGCTCGGTGAATACCTCTGCCTTCCCTTGTCAGACGGGACTGGCCTGGCTTCCTCTTCACGGGACCACGACCACATGTCTCAAGATGCTCCTCGTCCTGAGCTTAGGACCAAAGGGGACCTGAACGCCTTTACTGTCCTGCGAACAGAGGCCCCCAAACTCCCATGAGGATGAGGCAGGAGAGCAATTTCAGGGACCCCTGGCACCGGGAGGCGCCCACATCAGCTGCCAGGAAGTGGATGGAATTCGTGTCTCAGGGCGGGCGGGAGTAAGTGGGGGGCCGGCTAATTAATCCGTGATGCCTCATCCTGAAGCAAAGCGACGAGTGACGGTGGCATCTGCCCCTGGCTGCCGTGACCCCCGTACCCTTGCTGCCCGAGGCACCCTCGTGAGGCCATGCTTCTCCGCGGAGCGCTCTTCCTGACACCGGGGAGGGGAGGGCAGCGAGACAGGGTGCAGGAGTGAACCCTTGGGAAGTGGGCAGCCAGGGTGCTGGGAGGCCAGCCCTTCCCTGCCCCGGGCAGACAGCAGGGACAGGGACCAGACGAGCCTGCTACGTGCCAAGGTCCAGGCTCTGCGCCGGAGGATTCCCCTCAGAGCCACACGTGAAAACCCCCAGGCACGTGGCCCCACAGGTCTGCTCTCCCCGCACGACCTCAGATGGGTGACGGGAGGGAGGGAGGTTGTGTGTTTGCTGCTTCCACCATCATGTGGGTTCCAGCCTCCCGAGGGCACAACACAGAGGCAGGGAGGGCGGGCGGACACCAGGAGAGGGGGTGCCGTGCACCCCGGAGGAGAAAGGGTGAGACTTGCCTGCCTGTGTCGGAGGGAAACGGGCACCGACCAGGGTCTGGGCCCTAAGGTTCGGGACTCGGGAAGGAGCAGGACCACGGCCCCAGGTGATGAAATGGGAGGGCGTTTGGTATTTCGGTGGAAAAGACAGGGAAGCAGGCTTCTCGGTGCTCGTGTTAGCTGCCCTGGGGCCGCAGGGGAGTCCGTCCCTTGTACCTGGCTGTGTGACCACGGGCAAGTCACTTAACCACTCTGGGCCCAGCCTTGAGGTATCACGGAGCAGAGGGGAACGCTGTGAGCTAAGACTAAGGCGACTTGGGTCCTCATGCCGGTTCTGCCCCTGACTCGTCTGTCCCGCCCACAGGATGAATGTGCGAAATGTGACAGGGTGGGTCAGTATTTGTGAACAGATGATTGAGACCCTGGGTCAGACACTCGACTTGCCGGGCCTCATCTGCAAAGCAAGGCGTTTTGAGTCAAAAGTCTCAGTCTAGCCCAAATGTATAATATTCAAGTCTGTTTCATTTCACGGAGACAAGGTGATTTTGAGGAAATTTCTCGTTGAGATTGATTTCTGAGTCTGGGCATTACAAATCGATAAAGATAATACATCAGCAGGGACTCCAGTTTGCAGGAGATAAAAACTCAAGACATACAGGCTTAAGCTGAAAGAATCATTTATTAACTCACGTAACAGAAAACAGCTGAAGAGCCCGGACACGGGTTCAGGCATGGCTGGATCCAGCATCCTAACAAGCTGGAATGCTGTCCCCTGTTGGTTCCACTCTCCTGTTTGCTCCTGTCTTGGGCAGGCTTCTCATCTCAGTGGCTCTGCAGCTCCAGGCAGCAGGAAGGGAGTTTGCCTTCAACAGCACCCACAGGGGAAACCCACTGGCTCTCCCGAGCCTGCCTTTATGACCCATCTGCATACCAGACGCTGTGGCCAATGGCCTGAGGTCCGCAAAGCCGGCGATGTCATCTGTACCTGAAGCACAGGGACCGAAGGGGAGGGAGGATCCCCAGGGGAATGGGTGCTCACTGTAGCAGGATGCATAGCACTGGTGGCAGAGTTTGCCAAGCGGCCAGAACTCTCCCTGGGAGAGGTGCAGAGCCCTATCTGGGGATGCCGTGGCATGGCTGCTGTTCCCATCGTCCCTAGTAGAATCTCCAGGCCCCTCTCTGTGTCCTCAGTTCCGGAAAGGAGCCCACATCCTGGCCTCCGAGACACGTGGCGCTCAAGGATGGGCCCCCACTTGCGGGATCAGGCTGCCCTCCTGCCCTGGGCCAGGGCCGGGCACATGAGCCCCTGCCTGTATTTCCAGGCCTCCCAGGCCACTCTCCCCTGGAGCAAACACCAGCTCTGCCTCCCAGAATCCCTGCTCTCGCCTCCCGTCCCCGGGAAGACCCCAGCCTTCCTACAGCCCGGGCTCGGGGCTTGCACCTCGGGGGAGTAGCTGCCTCCCCGTCTCTGCGGGCAGACCCCGTGTTCCCCACCCTGTCCCAGAACATGCTGCACACACAGCCTCCCGCACCTCCCGTCTGCGTTGTGTCTGTGCACCCCACGGAGCAGAGAAACCGTCCGATTCACCCCAACGTCCTCAGGACTCTGCCTGGAACACAGCAGTACTCTGGAGCACTGTGGGCAGGCAGGGGTGGGGGTGGGGGTGGGGGGGGTGGGAAGCCAGCAGCCCAGCTCAGAGGCACAGACACCAGAGACAAATGACAGCAGGCGGCACCCCAGAGGGTGGAGACCCCGGGTCAGGGACACGCGTGGAGGTCCCAGAGGGAGGCTTCCCCTGGGAAGCCCCAGCCCCCGTTTGCCCCGCGGCCGCTGTTCGTTCAGGGAGGACAGAAGCCCAGGAGCCCTGACACTGTGAGGGCTTCTCACAAAACTCAGCAGAGCAGACCTGACTGGCCCCAA